GTGATGATGGCTGTGGTGTAACAGGCAGCAGTATGTGTGTGTGTAGTCACTCAAGAAGGCTGATGTGTTGTAGACGTGGAGGGTGAAGATGGCTGTGGTGTAACAGGCAGCAGGATATGTGTGTGTGTGTAGTCACTCACGAAGGCTGATGTGTTGTGGACGTGGAGGGTGAAGAAGGCTGTGGTGTAACAGGCAGCAGTATGTGTGTGTGTGTGTAGTCACTCACGAAGGCTGATGTGTTGTAGACGTGGAGGGTGATGATGGCTGTGGTGTAACAGGCAGCAGTATGTGTGTGTGTGTGTAGTCACTCACGAAGGCTGATGTGTTGTAGACGTGGAGGGTGAAGATGGCTGTGGTGTAACAGGCAGCAGTGTGTGTGTGTGTGTAGTCACTCACGAAGGCTGATGTGTTGTAGATGTGGAGGGTGAAGATGGCTGTGGTGTAACAGGCAGCAGTATGTGTGTGTGTGTAGTCACTCACGAAGGCTGATGTGTTGTAGACGTGGTGGGTGAAGATGGCTGTGGTGTAACAGGCAGCAGTATGTGTGTGTGTAGTCACTCACGAAGGCTGATGTGTTGTAGACGTGGAGGGTGAAGATGGCTGTGGTGTAACAGGCAGCAGTATGTGTGTGTGTGTAGTCACTCATGAAGGCTGATGTGTTGTAGACGTGGAGGGTGAAGATGGCTGTGGTGTAACAGGCAACAGAATGTGTGTGTGTAGTCACTCACGAAGGCTGATGTGTTGTAGACGTGGGGGGTGAAGATGGCTGTGTTGTGTGTGTGTGTAGTCACTCATGAAGGCTGATGTGACGATGAGGGTGATGATGGCTGTGGTGTAACAGGTAGCAGTATGTGTGTGTGTAGTCACTCACGAAGGCTGATGTGTTGTAGACGTGGAGGGTGATGATGGCTGTGGTGTAACAGGCAACAGGATGGGTGTGTGTGTAGTCACTCACGAAGGCTGATGTGTTGTAGACGTGGAGGGTGAAGATGGCTGTGGTGTAACAGGCAGCAGTATGTGTGTGTGTGTAGTCACTCACCAAGGCTGATGTGTTGTAGACGTGGGGGGTGATGATGGCTGTGGTGTAACAGGCAGCAGTATGTGTGTGTGTAGTCACTCACGAAGGCTGATGTGTTGTAGACGTGGAGGGTGATGATGGCTGTGGTGTAACAGGCAGCAGTATGTGTGTGTGTAGTCACTCACGAAGGCTGATGTGTTGTAGACGTGGAGGGTGAAGATGGCTGTGGTGTAACAGGCATCAGGATGTGTGTGTGTGTAGTCACTCACGAATGCTGATGTGTTGTAGACGTGGAGGGTGAAGATGGCTGTGGTGTAACAGGCATCAGGATGTGTGTGTGTGTAGTCACTCACGAAGGCTGATGTGTTGTAGACGTGGAGGGTGATGATGGCTGTGGTGTAACAGGCATCAGGATGTGTCTGTGTGTGTAGTCACTCACGAAGGCTGATGTGTTGTAGACGTGGAGGGTGAAGATGGCTGTGGTGTAACAGGCAGCAGTATGTGTGTGTGTGTAGTCACTCACGAAGGCTGATGTGTTGTAGACGTGGAGGGTGATGATGGCTGTGGTGTAACAGGCAGCAGTATGTGTGTGTGTAGTCACTCACGAAGGCTGATGTGTTGTAGACGTGGAGGGTGAAGATGGCTGTGGTGTAACAGGGAGCAGTATGTGTGTGTGTAGTCACTCACGAAGGCTGATGTGTTGTAGACGTGGAGGGTGATGATGGCTGTGGTGTAACAGAAGCAGTATGTGTGTGTGTGTAGTCACTCACGTAGGCTGATGTGTTGTAGACGTGAAGGGTGAAGATGGCTGTGGTGTAACAGGCAGCAGTATGTGTGTGTGTGTAGTCACTCACGAAGGCTGATGTGTTGTAGACGTGGAGAGTGATGATGGCTGTGGTGTAACAGGCAGCAGTATGTGTGTGTGTAGTCACTCACGAAGGCTGATGTGTTGTAGACGTGGAGGGTGAAGATGGCTGTGGTGTAACAGGCAGCAGAATGTGTGTGTAGTCACTCACGAAGGCTGATGTGTTGTAGACGTGGAGGGTGAAGATGGCTGTGGTGTAACAGGCAGCAGTATGTGTGTGTAGTCACTCACGAAGGCTGATGTGTTGTAGACGTGGAGGGTGATGATGGCTGTGGTGTAACAGGCAGCAGTATGTGTGTGTGTAGTCACTCAAGAAGGCTGATGTGTTGTAGACATGGAGGGTGATGATGGCTGTGGTGTAACAGGCAGCAGTATGTGTGTGTGTAGTCACTCACGAAGGCTGATGTGTTGTAGACATGGAGGGTGATGATGGCTGTGGTGTAACAGGCAGCAGTATGTGTGTGTGTAGTCACTCAAGAAGGCTGATGTGTTGTAGACGTGGAGGGTGAAGATGGCTGTGGTGTAACAGGCAGCAGGATATGTGTGTGTGTGTAGTCACTCACGAAGGCTGATGTGTTGTAGACGTGGGGGGTGAAGATGGCTGTGGTGTAACAGGCATCAGGATGTGTGTGTGTAGTCACTCACGAAGGCTGATGTGACGTGGTGGGTGATGATGGCTGTGGTGTAACAGGCAGCAGGATGTGTGTGTGTGTAGTCACTCACGAAGGCTGATGTGTTGTAGACGTGGAGGGTGATGATGGCTGTGGTGTAACAGGCATCAGGATGTGTCTGTGTGTGTAGTCACTCACGAAGGCTGATGTGTTGTAGACGTGGAGGGTGAAGATGGCTGTGGTGTAACAGGCAGCAGTATGTGTGTGTGTAGTCACTCACGAAGGCTGATGTGTTGTAGACGTGGAGGGTGATGATGGCTGTGGTGTAACAGGCAGCAGTATGTGTGTGTGTAGTCACTCACGAAGGCTGATGTGTTGTAGACGTGGAGGGTGAAGATGGCTGTGGTGTAACAGGGAGCAGTATGTGTGTGTGTAGTCACTCACGAAGGCTGATGTGTTGTAGACGTGGAGGGTGATGATGGCTGTGGTGTAACAGAAGCAGTATGTGTGTGTGTGTAGTCACTCACGTAGGCTGATGTGTTGTAGACGTGGAGGGTGAAGATGGCTGTGGTGTAACAGGCAGCAGTATGTGTGTGTGTGTAGTCACTCACGAAGGCTGATGTGTTGTAGATGTGGAGAGTGATGATGGCTGTGGTGTAACAGGCAGCAGTATGTGTGTGTGTAGTCACTCACGAAGGCTGATGTGTTGTAGACATGGAGGGTGATGATGGCTGTGGTGTAACAGGCAGCAGTATGTGTGTGTGTAGTCACTCACGAAGGCTGATGTGTTGTAGACGTGGAGGGTGAAGATGGCTGTGGTGTAACAGGCAGCAGGATATGTGTGTGTGTAGTCACTCACGAAGGCTGATGTGTTGTAGACGTGGAGGGTGAAGATGGCTGTGGTGTAACAGGCATCAGGATGTGTGTGTGTAGTCACTCACGAAGGCTGATGTGTTGTAGACGTGGAGGGTGATGATGGCTGTGGTGTAACAGAAGCAGTATGTGTGTGTGTGTAGTCACTCACGTAGGCTGATGTGTTGTAGACGTGGAGGGTGAAGATGGCTGTGGTGTAACAGGCAGCAGTATGTGTGTGTGTGTAGTCACTCACGAAGGCTGATGTGTTGTAGACGTGGAGAGTGATGATGGCTGTGGTGTAACAGGCAGCAGTATGTGTGTGTGTAGTCACTCACGAAGGCTGATGTGTTGTAGACATGGAGGGTGATGATGGCTGTGGTGTAACAGGCAGCAGTATGTGTGTGTGTAGTCACTCAAGAAGGCTGATGTGTTGTAGACGTGGAGGGTGAAGATGGCTGTGGTGTAACAGGCAGCAGGATATGTGTGTGTGTAGTCACTCACGAAGGCTGATGTGTTGTAGACGTGGAGGGTGAAGATGGCTGTGGTGTAACAGGCATCAGGATGTGTGTGTGTAGTCACTCACGAAGGCTGATGTGACGTGGTGGGTGATGATGGCTGTGGTGTAACAGGCAACAGGATGTGTGTGTGTGTAGTCACTCACGAAGGCTGATGTGTTGTAGACGTGGAGGGTGATGATGGCTGTGGTGTAACAGGTAGCAGGATGTGTGTGTGTGTGTGTAGTCACTCACGAAGGCTGATGTGTTGTAGACGTGGAGGGTGAAGATGGCTGTGGTGTAACAGGCATCAGGATGTGTGTGTGTAGTCACTCACGAAGGCTGATGTGTTGTAGACGTGGAGGGTGATGACGGCTGTGGTGTAACAGGTAGCAGTATGTGTGTGTGTAGTCACTCACGAAGGCTGATGTGTTGTAGACGTGGAGGGTGATGATGGCTGTGGTGTAACAGGTAGCAGTATGTGTGTGTGTAGTCACTCACGAAGGCTGATGTGTTGTAGACGTGGAGGGTGAAGATGGCTGTGGTGTAACAGACAGCAGTATGTGTGTGTGTAGTCACTCACGAAGGCTGATGTGTTGTAGACGTGGTGGGTGAAGATGGCTGTGGTGTAACAGGCAGCAGTATGTGTGTGTGTAGTCACTCACAAAGGCTGATATCTTGTAGACGTGGAGGGTGAAGATGGCTGTGGTGTAACAGGCAGCAGTATGTGTGTGTGTGTAGTCACTCACGAAGGCTGATGTGACGTGGAGGGTGAAGATGGCTGTGGTGTAACAGGCAGCAGTATGTGTGTGTGTGTAGTCACTCACGAAGGCTGATGTGTTGTAGACGTGGAGGGTGAAGATGGCTGTGGTGTAACAGGTAGCAGGATGTGTGTGTGTAGTCACTCACGAAGGCTGATATCTTGTAGACGTGGAGGGTGATGATGGCTGTGGTGTAACAGGCATCAGGATGTGTGTGTGTGTAGTCACTCACGAAGGCTGATATCTTGTAGACGTGGGGGGTGATGATGGCTGTGATGTAACAGCCAGCAGGATGTGTGTGTGTAGTCACTCACGAAGGCTGATGTGTTGTAGACGTGGAGGGTGAAGATGGCTGTGGTGTAACAGGTAGCAGTATGTGTGTGTGTGGTCACTCACGAAGGCTGATATCTTGTAGACATGGGATGTGATGCGCAGCTGTCCTGATCGGGGGTCTTTGTGGACGCTGGACACGGTGAGACACACACAGAGACACGGTGAGACACACACAGAGACACGGTGAGACACACACAGAGACACGGTGAGACACACACAGAGACACAGTGAGACACACACAGAGACACAGTGAGACACACACAGAGACACGGTGAGACACACACACACAGACACAGTGAGACAGACACAGAGACACAGTGAGACACACACACAGAGACACAGTGAGACACACACACAGAGACACAGTGAGACACACACACAGAGACACGGTGAGACACACACAGAGACACGGCGAGCCACACACAGAGACATAGTGAGACACGGTGAGACACGGTGAGACACACAGAGAGACACGGTGAGCCACACACACAGAGACACAGTGAGACACGGTGAGACACGGTGAGACACACACAGAGACACAGTGAGACACACACAGAGACACGGTGAGACACACACACAGAGACACAGTGAGACACACACAGAGACACAGTGAGACACACACAGAGACACAGTGAGACACATACAGAGACACAGTGAGACACACACAGAGACACAGTGAGACACACACAGAGACACAGTGAGACACACACAGAGACACAGTGAGACACACACACAGAGACACAGTGAGACACACACAGAGACACAGTGAGACACACACACAGAGACACAGTGACACACACAGAGACACAGTGAGACACACACACAGAGACACGGTGAGACACACACAGAGACACAGTGAGACACACACACAGAGACACAGTGAGACACACACAGAGACACGGTGAGACACACACAGAGACACAGTGAGACACACACAGAGACACAGTGAGACACACACACAGAGACACGGTGAGACACACACAGAGACACAGTTACACACACACAGAGACTCAGTGAGACACACACAGAGACACAGTGAGACACACACACAGAGACACAGTGAGACACACACAGAGACACGGTGAGACACACACACAGAGACAGTGAGACACACACACAGAGACACGGTGAGACACACACACAGACACACGGTGAGACACACACACAGAGACACAGTGAGACACACACACAGAGACAGTGAGACACACACACAGAGACACGGTGAGACACACACAGAGACACAGTGAGACACACACAGAGACACAGTGAGACACACACAGAGACACGGTGAGACACACACAGAGACACAGTGAGACACACACAGAGACACGGTGAGACACACACACAGAGACACAGTGAGACACACACAGAGACACGGTGAGACACACACAGAGACACGGTGAGACACACACAGAGACACGTTGAGACACACACAGAGACACGGTGAGACACACACACAGAGACACGGTCAGGGTCTAGGTCAGGGTCGGGTCAGGGTTAGCTTCAGGGTTAGGGTTAGAGTTAGGGTTTGGTCCGAGTTAGGGTCAGGGTTAGGTTCAGGGTCAGGGACGGGGGCATGTCATGGTCAGGGTCAGGGTCGGGGTCAGGGTCATGGGTCATGGCCTAGGGCTGGTGGCGTGGGGCACGTCCCCTGGCACCTGAGTAGCTGCTTGTAGAGTTGGCGGGTCACGGCGAGGTAGGGTCAGGGTCAGGGTCGGGGTCAGGGTCAGGGTCATGGCCTGGGGCTGGTGGCGTGGGGCACGTCCCCTGGCACCTGAGTAGCTGCTTGTAGAGTTGGCGGGTCACGGCGAGGTAGGGTCAGGGTCAGGGTCGGGGTCAGGGTCAGGGTCATGGCCTGGGGCTGGTGGCGTGGGGCACGTCCCCTGGCACCTGAGTAGCTGCTTGTAGAGTTGGCGGGTCACGGCGAGGTAGGGTCAGGGTCAGGGTCAGGGTCATGGGTCATGGCCTAGGGCTGGTGGCGTGGGGCACGTCCCCTGGCACCTGAGTAGCTGCTTGTAGAGTTGGCGGGTCACGGTGAGGTAGGGTCAGGGTCAGGGTCAGGGTCGGGGTCAGGGTCAGGGTCATGGCCTGGGGCTGGTGGCGTGGGGCACGTCCCCTGGCACCTGAGTAGCTGCTTGTAGAGTTGGCGGGTCACGGCGAGGTAGGGTCAGGGTCAGGGTCAGGGTCATGGCCTAGGGCTGGTGGCGTGGGGCACGTCCCCTGGCACCTGAGTAGCTGCTTGTAGAGTTGGCGGGTCACGGCGAGGTAGGGTCAGGGTCAGGGTCATGGCCTAGGGCTGGTGGCGTGGGGCACGTCCCCTGGCACCTGAGTAGCTGCTTGTAGAGTTGGCGGGTCACGGCGAGGTAGGGTCAGGGTCAGGGTCAGGGTCATGGCCTGGGGCTGGTGGCGTGGGGCACGTCCCCTGGCACCTGAGTAGCTGCTTGTAGAGTTGGCGGGTCACGGCGAGGTAGGGCCCCAGCTCCTCCTCGTACTGGCAAAGCTCGCCGCCCAGGCACACGTGGGCAAAGAGGCGGAAGAGGAACTCGTCGCGCTCCGCGGGGCTGTACACCTCCTTGAAGCGCTCCTCCTCATCCTCATCCTCCTCATCCTCCTCCTCATCCTCATCCTCCTCCTCATCATCCTCCTCGTCACCCTCGTCCACCTCCACGCCGTCGCCACCGGCCAGCAGCAGCTACGGGGGGTGCACACAGCACCGGCGTTACCGTGGTGACGGTGGTGGCGGTGGTGGTGGCGGTGGTGAACACAACCCTCACTTACGAACACCACCCCCACTTACGAACACCACCACCCCCACTTACGAACACCACCCTCACTTACGAACACCACCACCCCACTTACGAACACCACCCCCACTTACGAACACCACCCTCACTTACGAACACCACCACCCCCACTTACGAACACCACCCCCACTTACGAACACCACCCCCACTTACGAACACCACCACCCCCACTTACGAACACCACCACCCCCACACAAACACCACCACCCCCACTTACGAACACCACCCCCACTTACGAACACCACCCCCACTTACGAACACCACCACCCCCACTTACGAACACCACCACCCCCACACAAACACCACCACCCCCACTTACGAACACCACCACCCCCAATTACGAACACCACCACCCCCACTTACGAACACCACCCTCACTTACAAACACCACCCCCACTTACGAACACCACCCCCACTTACGAATGCCACCACCCCCACTTACAAACACCACCCCCACTTACGAACACCACCCCCACTTACGAACACCACCACCCCCACACAAACACCACCACCCCCACTTACGAACACCACCACCCCCACTTACGAACACCCCCACTTACGAACACTACCACCCCCACTTACGAACCCCACCCCCACTTACGAACGTCACCACCCCCACTTACGAACACCAATACCCCCACTTACGAACACGACCCCCACTTACGAACACCACCACCCTCACTTACGAACACCACCCTCACTTACGAACACCACCACCCTCACTTACGAACACCACCCCCACCTTCGAACAACACCACCCCCACTTACGAACACGACCCCCACTTACGAACATCACCACCCCCACTTACGAACACCACCACCCTCACTTACGAACACCACCACCCCCACTTACGAACACCACCCCCACTTACGAACACCACCACCCCCACTTACGAACACCACCACCCCCACTTACGAACACCACCCCCACTTACGAACACCACCCTCACTTACGAACACCACCCCCACTTACGAACACCACCCTCACTTACGAACACCACCCCCACTTACGAACACCACCACCCTCACTTACGAACACCACCACCCCCACTTACGAACACTACCACCCCCACTTACGAACACAACCCCCCACTTACGAACACCACCCCTACTTACGAACACAACCCCCCACTTACGAACACCACCACCCCCACTTACGAACACAACCCCCCACTTACGAACACCACCCCTACTTACGAACACAACCCCCCACTTACGAATACCACCGCCCCCTGGGCCTCACCTTGCGCAGTCGGTCGGCGACGAGGAAGCCTCCGAGCACCTCGTCGGGGCGCTTGACGAGGTGGCCCCCGCCACGGGCCACACCGCACGTGGTCAGGCGGTCGAAGAACGACATCGAGAGCTGGGAGCAGGGCACGGGGCGCACAGACACGCTGTGCACGGGGCCTGCACACGCAGAGACACACACACACAGAGACACGTTAACACAGACAGAGACACGTTAACACAGAGACACACAGACAGAGACACACACAGACACGGTGTGCACGGGGCCTGCACACGCAGAGACACACACACAGACAAAGACACGTTAACACAGACAGAGACACGTTAACACAGAGACACACAGACAGAGACACACACAGACACGCTGTGCACGGGGCCTGCACACGCAGAGACACGTTAACACAGACAGAGACACGTTAACACAGAGACACACACAGACAGAGACACACACAGACACGCTGTGCACGGGGCCTGCACACGCAGAGACACGTTAACACACAGGCAGAGACACGTTAACACAGACAGAGACACGTTAACACAGAGACACACACAGACACGCTGTGCACGGGGCCTGCACACGCAGAGACACGTTAACACAGAGACACACACAGACACACACAGACAGAGACACACACAGACAGAGACACGTTAACACAGAGACACGTTAACACAGAGACACGTTAACACAGAGAGGCGTTAACACAGAGACACACACAGACACGCTGTGCACGGGGCCTGCACACGCAGAGACACGTTAACACAGGCAGAGACACGTTAACACAGACAGAGACACGTTAACACAGAGAGGCGTTAACACAGAGACACACACAGACACGCTGTGCACGGGGCCTGCACACGCAGAGACACGTTAACACAGGCAGAGACACGTTAACACAGACAGAGACACACACAGACACGCTGTGCACGGGGCCTGCACACGCAGAGACACGTTAACACAGAGACACACACAGACAGAGACACACACAGACACGCTGTGCACGGGGCCTGCAC